AGAGACTTAGTCAAGAACCTAAGAGACTTCCAAACAACCAAACATTGTACAAGCTTAATCTTATTCTGCAGGATGGTATACTGAAGGTGGGAGGGAGGCTGGAAAATGCATCGCTACCTAACAGAGTTAAGCATCCAGCAATTCTACCCAAAAATTCTACCTTCACAAGACTGATTATCAATCACTACCACAACAAATCCTTGCATCAAGGAAGAAGCTTTACTCAAAGCTGTTTGAGAGAAGGTGGTTACTGGATAGTGAAAGGAAGCAAAGTTATAGCGAAATACATAAGTAAATGTGTAATCTGTAGAAAGGCACGTAGACCTACAGAAGAACAAAGAATGGCTGATCTACCAGCTGATCGTGTAAACCCATCACCACCATTTCTTTATAGCGGAATGGATTGCTTCGGCCCATTTATCACCAAACAAAACCGCAAGGAGTACAAGAGATATGGACTGATATTTACATGTCTAAGCTCCAGAGCAATTCACCTGCTTAAGATCAACGCCTTAAGATGTTTCATAGCCATTAGAGGTACTGTCAGAGAACTTAGATCTGACCAAGGATCTAATTTTGTTGGAGCAAAGAATGAATTGAACAAGGCTCTAAAAGAGATTGATAAAGAAAAAGTTACTGAGTACTTGTTAGAGAAACAGTGTGATTTTCACATGAATGCTCCACATGCAAGCCATACAGGCGGAGTCTGGGAGAGGCAAATCAGAACTGTAAGAAACGTACTAAGTTCAGTGTTGAAAAAGAACGCCGGAAGATTAGATGATGCTTCACTTAGGACACTATTCTATGAAGTAATGTCTATTGTTAACAGTCGTCCACTTACAGTCAACATCAACGACCCAACAAGTTTGGAACCTTTAACTCCCAACCATCTACTTCACCTTAAGTCTGATTACATACAGCCACCACCTGGCAACTTCACCAAAGAGGATTTATATGCAAGGAAAAGATGGCGAAGAGTTCAATATCTATTAGAGCAGTTTTGGAATAGATGGAGCAAGGAGTACTTAGCTCATCTCATACTAAGAAGTAAATGGCAAACGCCTAGAAGAAATGTTCATGTTGATGACATAGTGTTAGTAAAGGAAGACGACTTACCTAGAAGTCAATGGAAATTGGCCAAAGTCCTAGAAGCTCGAAAGGATGAAGAAGGACTAGTAAGAAGAGTTTTGTTACAAATGGGAGACTCAAAACTGGACAAAAAGGGAAAACGTCTCACAACTCCACTAAAGTTGGAACGTCCAATACAAAAGTTAGTTGTTCTGCTTGAGAGTAACAAAGACACTGGAGAGTTGAGAAACTGATGGAAAATTCCTCAAATTCATGTTCGATTCCTATTACAGAGAACATTGAATTATAGGCAATTTTGGTGGGAGTGTAGCTGGCCAGCTAAGACCAGTCCTAGGTTGTTAATATGGTTCACATATATGTGTATACCAAACCTGCCAATAACCTCAGTACAGTATATATGTGCATATGTTAAAGCCAAAAGCAAAATCATTGCTGTAATTTATGTCTTTGATTGTTATATGACATTTATATATTCATTGTGTTAGCAGAAGCAGAAAAGGAAAATATGCCTTTAAGAGTTAGTTAAAGATGAGCCAATCACAGACAGCTTCATACTGTACAGAGCCTTAACCAATCCCAGCCAGTTTCACATTTATGCCTGTGTAAAACTCCCTGCTAGGATTTTCTAGAGACACATGCTCACCAAACAGAGGAGGAAACAGACAGTTCCAATCAGAAAAGCTTTATGGAAACAGAGAAGGCCAAATAGTTCCACCGAACTTACGAACTTATCGAATATAACGAATTTATAAATCCAAGTGAATTTATCAATCTATCGAAATATACAGAACAAATTTATCGAATCTATTGAACCTATCGAGATAAGCTATCGAATCAAACCACTGTAATATGAAAGAAATAAGCTACTGTATGATAAATGAAACAAGCCATTGTAAGCAGTTATATGAAGAAGATTGAAGTTATTAAAGAAGTTAACTAAAGTATTCGGAGTGCTCTTTAAACCTACTGCATCCATAGAGCGGCATTGGAGGAATTACAGAGTAAAGTCAGTCTAATCAAACAAAGAAACAGCAATTGCATAATTTTCTAATGCCACATCGCACTAGGCACCAAAGGGTGGTGCGCCTGCCACAGGCGGCACAGGTGGGTACTGATGGGCACTTGTGGGCGGCACTGGTGGGTACTTGTGGGCAGAACCGATGGGTGGCACTGCTGGGCACCGATCATCAGGGCCCTGATGATCGGTGCCGATCCCTGCTCTGACAACTGCCGATTCTCGGCAGTACTTTCCTCGCGCTCTGACAGCGTGAGCAAAGTGCAGCCGAGAACTGTCAATTGCATTTCCTGGTGATCAACGTGTCATTGGACACGAATGATCACGTGGTCAAAGGCCGCTGTGATTGGCTTTTTACCACATCACATGATCAGCTGTGTCTGTAGGACACAGCGATCGTGGAGATCACCAGATGCACGCCCCCGGGGGCGCATTCTGGGAGGACGTCATGTGACGCCCTCCCAGAACTGGCCGGCCACAGTGCAGCCATCATTCGGCTATCTGTGGTCGGCAACTGGTTAAGGGCAGAGGAGAGATTTGGGGTCTCCATAAAAAGGTCCGGTCACTGCCTGTGGCTATCAATGGGAATATTTATATTCCCTGTGATAACAATAAAAGTGATAAAATTTAAAGCCCCCCCCAGTGTAAAGGTGAACTCATGCATCCGTCCCGGACGCTCACCAACAGAACGCGCCCCACACATGTGAGAGCAATAATTTGAGCGCTAGACCTCCTCTGTCAATCCTGACCTGTAAAAAACGTTCGAACCATCACCTATGGAGATTTTTAAGCTTCGTAGTTTGGTGTCACTCCACAAGCGTGCGCAATTTTTAAGCATGACATGTTTGGTATCTATTTACTCGGTGTAACGCCATCTTTTATATTGTACCAAAAAATCATGTATTGTGGTTTTTTGGCATTGAAATTCATTAACGAACAAGTCCACCATTGGGAACATATTACATGTTCAACCCATTTTTAGCGTGGAGCATGTAATATGTTCCCAATGTTGCAGCCACTGCCCAATCCCCCTCTCCCCCGTGACAGCAGTACGGGGAGAAGTTCCCCATACTAGCTGTCACTTTATAAAAAAAGTGCAGCTGTGTCATTCATTCACAATGTTCTGTGCAAGAAAGGACTACAAGTTGGGAACATGACGTTATATTGAGGAATGGAGATGGACCTTTCATATGCTGTCCAGTATCTCCTCCTCATTTGTTGGGAACATGACGTTATATTGAGGAATGGAGATGGACCTTTCATATAGTGTCCAGTATCTCCTCCTCATTTGTTGGGAACATGACGTTATACTGAGGAATGGAGATGGACCTTCCATATGGTGTCCAGTATCTCCTCATTTGTTGGGAACGTGACATTATATTGAGGAATGGAGATGGACCTTTCATATGGTGTCCAGTATCTCCTCATTTGTTGGGAACATGACGTTATATTGAGGAATGGAGATGGACCTTTCATATGGTGTCCAGTATCTCCTCCTCATTTGTTGGGAAGATGACGTTATATTGAGGAATGGAGATGGACCTTTCATATGGTGTCCAGTATCTCCTCCTCATTTGTTGGGAACATGACGTTATACTGAGGAATGGAGATGGACCTTCCATATGGTGTCCAGTATCTCCTCATTTGTTGGGAACGTTGACATTATATTGAGGAATGGAGATGGACCTTTCATATGGTGTCCTTTCATATGGTGTCCAGTATCAGTATCTCCTCCTCATATGGTGTCCAGTATTCCTCATTTGGGGAACATGACGTTATACTGAGGAATGGAGATGGACCTTCATATGGTGTCCAGTATCTCCTCCTCATTTGTTGGGAACATGACGTTATATTGAGGAATGGAGATGAACCTTTCATATGGTGTCCAGTATCTCCTCCTCATTTGTTGGGAACATGACGTTATATTGAGGAATGGAGATGGACCTTTCATATGGTGTCCAGTATCTCCTCCTCATTTGTTGGGAACATGATGTTATATTGAGGAATGGAGATGGACCTTTCATACGGTGTCCAGTATCTCTCTCCTCATTTGTTGGGAACATGACGTTATATTGAGGAATGGAGATGGACCTTTCATATGGTGTCCAGGGTCTCCTCCTCATTTGTTGAAAACATGCAGATTTTTACAAGTATCAGAAAAGGACAGGTGCAGCTACAAATGTTTAGAATTGGTTTTCAAGATTTGGCCCCCGTAGACATCAGTAGGGTTTGGATATATCTTTTTTAGACTGTACAAAGTGGCTCCAGGAATGGCCCGTGAACCAAACCCAGGCAAATTTTCACATCCATAATATCACCAAACATCTAAGAATTAGAATGATTTAGTGATAAAGCAAAAAAACCCTCAGAATAAAGAAATGTAGAGCTTCTTACTTTATTTGAACTTTCTGGTGTACAATAAATGTATTTATTATTTATGTAACAAAAACATTTTCAACACACTTTACAACCTATATGAAACCTCACCTATGGGAATCTTCAACTGCATTTGACTGAATAAAACATTTCCCACACAATCCACATGAACAAAGATGCTAAACTGTGTGAATTCTCTGGTGTTTTTGAAGGTCTCCTTTCTGGATAAAACATTTTCCGCACTCTGAACATAAATAAGGACGCTCGCCTGTGTGAGTCCTTTGGTGTGTAACAAAGTGTCCTTTTTGAATGAAACACTTTCCGCACTCTGAACAGGAATAGGGACGCTCACCAGTGTGACTTTTCTGGTGCATAAAAAGCACCCTTTTTTGAGTGAAACATTTCCCGCACTCTGAACAACAGAAGGGACGTTCACCTGTGTGAATTCTCAGATGTTTAAGAAGGTTTCCTTTGTCATTGAAATATTTCCCGCACTCTGAGCATGAATACGGATGCTCACCTTTGTGAATTCTCTGGTGTATATGAAGGTCTCCTTTCTGAATGAAACATTTCCCGCACTCTGAACATGGATAGGGACGCTCACCTGTGTGGATTCTCTGATGTGTAATAAAATGACCTTTTTGAATGAAACATTTCCCGCACTCAGAACATCTATAAGGATGCTCACCCTTGTGAATCCTCTGATGTATTTGAAGGTCTCCTTTCTGAATGAAACGTTTCCCACACTCTGAACATGAATAGGGACGCTCACCTGTGTGGCTTCTCTGGTGTGTAAGAAGTGCTTTTTGCTGAGTGAAACTTTTCCCACACTCTGAACAGGAAAAGGGACGTTCACCCGTGTGAATTCTCTGATGTTTAAGAAGGTCTCCTTTCTGAATGAAACTTTTCCCACACTCGGAACATGAATAGGGACGCTCACCCGTGTGAATTCTCTGATGTTTAAGAAGGTCTCCTTTTTGAATGAAACTCTTCCCACACTCTGAACATGAATGAGGACGCTCACCTGTGTGAATTCTCTGATGTTTAAGAAGGTGCCCTTTCTGAATGAAACATTTCCCGCACTCTGAACATGAATAGGGACGCTCACCCGTGTGATTTTTCTGGTGTCTAAGAAGTGCTCTGTTTGTAGTGAAAGATTTCCCACACACTGAACATGACAATGAACTCTCTTCTGCGTGAACACCTTCATTGCTTATAGAAGATTCCTTGGGAAAAGTTGGTTCTATGGCAGTATCTGTATTGTGAGACTTTGGAGTTTCACCGTGTGATTTATCAGAAGATTCCTCAGGAACAGAGGGATCCATTGATCTCCCCAGTTGGGGAGGTCTCTGATGTAAATTTTGAGTAACGGGATTCACTCCTGGAGAATATTGTGCAATGTTATCATCTGCATTATCATCTGGAGATGCGAGATGTTCCTCAGAGGTCTGGCAGGCATAATGTCCACCTGTAGAAAAGCAATTTTGCAATAAATGTTGTAAGTATTTTTCAAACCTTGCACTTATATATATTGGTCCAGCACTAAATATGTCGGGGCGCTGGAATGGAATTGGAAACCATTATTACAGGAAAGTACAAACACAAACCAGATAAAGGATACAATACACACGCATTGATGACTTTCCCTGCTTCATTTCTCGTACACATGACAACACGCTGAACAATGGAGATGGACTTCATGTGTTATGCAATACTTCCACCTCATTTGTTGGGAACATGACGTTATATTGAGGAATGGAGATGGACCTTTCATATGGTGTCCAGTATCTCCACCTCATTTGTTGGGAACATGACGTTATATTGAGGAATGGAGATGGACCTTCCATATGGTGTCCAGTATCTCCTCCTCATTTGTTGGGAACATGACGTTATATTGAGGAATGGAGATGGACCTTTCATATGGTGTCCAGTATCTCCTCCTCATTTGTTGGGAACGTGATGTTATATTGAGGAATGGAGATGGACCTTTCATATGGTGTACAGTATCTCCTCCTCATTTGTTGGGAACATGACATTATATTGAGGAATGGAGATGGACCTTTCATATGGTGTCCAGTATCTCCTCCTCATTTTGTTGGGAACATGACGTTACATTGAGGAATGGAGATGGACCTTTCATATGGTGTCCAGTATCTCCTCCTCATTTGTTGGGAACATGACGTTATATTGAGGAATGGAGATCGACCTTTCATATGGTGTCCAGTATCTCCTCATTTGTTGGGAACATGACGTTATATTGAGGAATGGAGATGGACCTTTCATATGGAGTACAGTATCTCCTCATTTGTTGGGAACATGACATTATATTGAGGAATGGAGATGGACTTTTCATATGATGTCCAGTATCTCCTCCTCATTTGTTGGGAACATGACGTTATATTGAGGAATGGAGATGGACCTTCCATATGGTGTACAGTATCTCCTCCTCATTTGTTGGGAACATGACGTTATATTGAGGAATGGAGATGGACCTTTCATATGGTGTCCAGTATCTCCTCCTCATTTGTTGGGAACATGACGTTACATTGAGGAATGGAGATGGACCTTTCATATGGTGTCCAGTATCTCCTCCTCATTTGTTGGGAACATGACGTTATATTGAGGAATGGAGATCGACCTTTCATATGGTGTCCAGTATCTCCTCATTTGTTGGGAACATGACGTTATATTGAGGAATGGAGATGGACCTTTCATATGGAGTACAGTATCTCCTCATTTGTTGGGAACATGACATTATATTGAGGAATGGAGATGGACTTTTCATATGATGTCCAGTATCTCCTCCTCATTTGTTGGGAACATGACGTTATATTGAGGAATGGAGATGGACCTTCCATATGGTGTACAGTATCTCCTCCTCATTTGTTGGGAACATGACGTTATATTGAGGAATGGAGATGGACCTTTCATATGGTGTCCAGTATCTCCTCATTTGTTGGGAACATGACGTTATATTGAGGAATGGAGATGGACCTTTCATATGATGTCCAGTATCTCCTCCTCATTTGTTGGGAACAGTGGTAATGTGGTAAATATTATTGCCTTTTTTCTGATGAGGACAAGAGATGATTCATTCATATGGTGTACAATACACACAGTACAATGGACTGTGGGGTAGGTACATCGATGATGTTCTTGCTGTCAGTAGCTAAGGTTTCTTAGCTTTTCCTGAACAGAAGGATGTGATGTTCTCTATTTTGGGCAACAGTGATTGGGCATAATTGGAAAAAAAAGGGGGGTTTAAAACGGTTGTAAAGCCTATTTTTTATTAAAATAACAAACAGGCTTAGACCTCTACTGGAGTCCCCTGCTGGCACCCTGACCTCCTCCTCATCTGTGTCTGGCTCCATAACAAGCCATTTGTGGTGTGGTCTTGGTCTTTGTGTCAGCAGATTGGTGGGATCTGCATTTATCATGTTTGGTGATGGATTTACACATAAAGACTTTTTTTTTTTAATTTAATTTTTTGTCTTTATTTTTATATTTAGTTTTTTTCTTTATTTTCTTGTGAATGGGTAACTTGCAGTACCAACACATATGTTGGTGGGGGGGGGGGTCTCCCCTTATCTTGAAACAGCTTCCAGATTCAAATATGTCCCCCTGAAGACCCCCACATACATCAGGCCAGCGATGTGGGGAAGAGGCTGTTGTCAACAACAACATGGTATAGCTCCGGGGGATGTATACTCGCTGCCGTTCCTGGTCAGTAATCTGCAAGCTCAAATAAGGGTCTGCTATGGTGTTTGCTGGGGATCCTACGCCATTTTTCTTTTAAATATTGGTTCCCCTTTATCCATGAATCCATTTACCTTCATGAAGGATGAGGGTCTGGTATGGATTTTGGGTGGGACCCCATGATGTTTTCTTACAGAATTTGGGGTGGGGGGCTATACTTTTCGTTGAGTGGGTTTCCCCCTTAAAATATGTACAGAGCTTTACCAATGATAAGGGTCTGATGTGCATCTTGGAAAGAAATCCCATGCTGTTTTTTTACACACAAAAAAAAAAGCCAGCTAGGAAATGTCATTTAGCAATAAGTGTTTCCTTCTTTCTAAAGGAACTTTGTATTTGGGGGGCTATGATTTTTGTTGAGTGGGTTTCCCCCTTAAAATACATACAGAACTTTATCAATGATAAGGGTCTGGTGTATATTTTGGAAAGGAACCCCATGCTGTTTTAAAAAAGAAAGACAAAAAAAAAAAAAAAAGGTCAGCTGGAAACTGGCATTTACTGGCAAACCTTTTCATTTTTTCTAAAGAGACACTGGACTTTGGGGGGATCCTATGCTTTTTGTTGAGTATGTTTCCCCTTAAAATCCTCACCAGGAACACAGAAACATAGCAATGATAAGGGCCTTTTGTGCATTTTGGAAAGGAACCCTGTTCTTACAAAAACAAAAGCCAGCTGGGAAATGTAATTTAGCAATAAAAGTTTTTCCTTCTTTCTAAAGGAACTCTGTATTTGGGGGGGCAATGATAAGGGTCTGGTGTACATTTTGGAAACTTCTGATCACCAGTGGATGAATACACAACACGCTGCTTGTCACTAACGCCTGTTTGATCTGAGTCCTTGAGCGCAGGAGATAATGGATCTTTGGGTACATTTTGGAAACCCCATGCTGTTTTTTTTACAAAATAAAAATCTAGCCAGCTGGGAAATGTCATTAAGCGGAAAAACTTTTCCTTCATAGGGTCCCCTTCTTCATAGGGGACCCTATGCTTTTTGTTGAGTGGGTTTCCCCCTTAAAATTCATACCAGAAACCTTATCAATGATAGGAATCTGGCATGCAATTTGGGAGGGACCCCATGCTGTGTAAAAAAAACAAAAAAAGCCAGCCGGGAAATATCATTTAGCAGAAATGTTTTTCTTCTTTCTAAAGTGACACTTTTGCTGTAGTACTTTGTACAGGGGCGCTGCTTCACAGCCAAGTTTTGGGAATCCCCCAAGCATACTATTTAACCCCTCCCCCTCCTGATGATTTACCCCCCTTCCTGACCAGCCCATTTTTTGCGTTACGGCGCTGCATTACTTTAACTGACAATTGTGCGGTTATGCAACGCTGCACCCCAAATGGAATTTACGCCCTTTTTTCCCCACAAATAGATTTCTTTCGGCGGTATTTGATCGCCTGTGCGATTTTATTTTTTGCGCTATAAAAAAAAAAAAAAAAGATTTTGAGAAATAAACAATATTTTGGACATTTTGCTATTAAACATGTCCAGTAAAAAAATTTTAAAAATCAAATTTCGTCATAAATTTACACCAAAATGTATTCTGCTCTGTGTCCTTGCTAAAAAAAAATCCATATACGTGTAAATTAATTGGTTTACGTGAAAGTTATAGCATTACAAATGGCGGTATAGATATGGGGATTTTTTTTTTCTACTAGTAATGGCGGGAACTTTTAGCGGGACTGACACTGGGGGAGGAACTGACTTGGTGTCACTGACATCCCCAGTGACACCAATACAGTGATCAGTGACACTGTACTAATGGCACTGGGCAGGAAGGGGTTAACATCTGGGGGCACTGACACCGTATTAATGGAACTGGGCAGGAAGTTTTACTAGGGGGCGGGGTCTGTGTGCTTTACAGTAATCACACTGATCTGGATGGCTGTGCTGTGCAGTGCGCCCGAGCCGACAGGGAGGAGGACTGTTAGTAAACAAAACTTCCTGTTGCAGATGCTCGGTAATCACCGGGCGCCGGCGGGTAATTACTGGCCAGGACCTGGTGATTGACAGCCGTGAATGGTGGCACGGGTAGGCATGCGCCCCTACCCGGAAATGTAAAATCACGTATATAGACATGATTTTGTGCATCCCTGCCACCCTGTAGCAGTATATCTGCTATAGGGTGGCAGGGAAGCGGTTAAAGGAACTTTGCATTCTTAATATTCCACTTGAAGACTTTTTCATTTCTTTTTTTTTTTTTTGCATTAGTACGTTCCTCATGGCAGTACCCAGCTCTCCATGTCCTTTGTTTGACGATCTCTTGCCTATTAGCTTCGAAACTGGAGAGAATTGATTTTTAAGATTCAATTCCTAATACCTTTAATGGGTCCCCTATTAAAGTTTGCATCTTGTGGATTTTTGAGGATTTTCCCGGATGTGCCCGAGAATCGAATCCAATGAGATGCACCCATTTCTACTTCATACTCAAAGAAGAAAGATAAAATTACAATATGTTTCTGCATTTCGTGTTTATGACTTACTTGTGTCCATATGTAGAGACGATTCCTCCGGTTTACTTGGCATAATCATCTCCCCCTCCTCCATAGACTGCTGATCTCCACTCACCAAC